AAAGAATTCAAAACGCCGTGAAATTCGAAAATGCCAATGCTAACGCATTGCGCGGTGTCCCGACGTTGGAACATCTTTGAAGTCTGTCAGTAAAGAGTCTGAAGCAGAAAAAACGCAATAAATTAATTTTCGGGGTTGGCAACAATTTTCTCAGCGTCTGCGCCCTTTCGAAAATCGCGAGGCTGAAAAGACGCATTGAAACTGCCCCTCCATTGTTGCTGAGGTTGGATTGTTTGGCTTGCTTTTAAAGGCTGCGGTTCTCTTGTGATGTTTTCCTCAATTTTGTAACCAGCACGACGGTTGGTTTGACAGACTTTATAAAATCGGGAGGAGTGGTTTCGGAACGCGGATGACTTTCGTTTGACGAACATGAGCACTGTAAATCGCGAGATCGCAATGGACTGAGATGGTCATTGTGTTAACTGAATAAGTTTTGGGGACGTAAAAATACCGGTAGGATTCAAAGTTACGTAAATAACGGTAAAAGTAACGTAATTAACGTTTAGACGACAGACTTCAAATTGATTTCCACAACCGGAACACCGTGCAATGCGATAGCATTGGAATTTTTTCTCACTACCACATCTGACAATATATGTTCGAAGTATTGGGTTTTTCGCTAAATGTCGGCTGTCCGGCAAAATATCCAACAACACTTTTTATTTTAAGTAGCTTCTTGCTTGCTCAGGGAGTCTTAGAGTTGAAATCGCGACGCTCGCTGGGGGCTCCGCCCCCAGACCCCCGCATGTGTCGGGCGCGTACCGAAGTATTTTTAGTAAGTCCGTGGTGACCAAAGGCAAATTTTCTAAGGAAGTAAATGTACTGCTTTTTTGAATGGTCTATTTAACAGCTTTTGACCATATAATTAAGCTACTTTTACTGCCCAAATAGATAGCTTGTATTGCATTGGCTACTGTGGCAGGCAATGGGTGCAGGGTGCATACAAGGTCCGGAAAATATTGAAGACTGCTTTGACAAGGATAGAGGTGAATGGAAAAAACCGCAAGTCTCTACGACCTCTCCTTGACCCCAAACATTTCTATGAGTGAGTGAGTGCGTCAGTGAGTCAGTCAGTCGGATTGGGGCTATATAGGTTCTTGATGATGATTGATGATGATGATTTACCCCATTGCCGATGTGTATCGCTACTTTTCCTGTTATTTGAAGATTGAGTACACTGGTGAAACAAAGGCATAAAAGTTATGCCCCTAAAGGGCGTAAACGATTTACGCCCTTAAAGGGCATAAATCGTTAATGCCTTTGGGAAGGACATTAAAATTTTGCTTGAAATTCCTATACCATTTACGCCCTTTCCAAGGGCATAAAACGATTATGCCCTTGCAAAGGCGTAAAAGAGTATTTATGCCCTAAAGGGCGTAATTTTCATGCCTTTGTTTTACCAGTGTAGGTTTGCTCGGAAACGGTGAGGAATTTAGTCCCCTTTTTTGAAGATTGAGTAGGTTTGCTCGGAAACGGTGAGGAATTTTCAACTTTTGGGATTTTTCCCCATTTTCCCATAAAATTTGGAATCGAATGGAAAAAAGTCTCTACGACCACTCCTTGACCCCAAACATTTCTATGAGTGAGTCAGTCAGTCGGATTGGGGCTATATAGGTTCTTGATGAAACTGCTGCGAGGGCATCCACTAAGAATCGTTGTACAGAAACAATCAGATGAGTGAAAATTTAGTTGTTCCTAAACATAGAATTTCATCATGAACCAAAGCAAAACAAATGTCATTGAATTTAAAAAAAACGACAGTTTGTTGCAGAAGAACAAAATTCTTGTAAACCATTAATAATACAATTTGTGTGCAAACAACATCTTTTGCCATTATCAGCTCAATTAAAATAAATGATGAGTAAGGGGCCGTACCCATATTACGTGACCGATTTAGGGGGGGGAGGGGGTTCGGCCAAATCCTACGGACGGTCACGAGGGGGGAGGGGGGGTTAATTCAAAAGTCACGTAGTCACGAATTTGGAAATTATGATAGCAAAACACACGAGGTAGCGGCGCGGTCAGGCAACAGATATCTGTTCCTGCTGCATCCAAGCGGACAGAAACCAAGTTTCCCGAAATATGACAAGTTCACTCTCATTCTAGGAACGTGACATCACGTTGAAACGAACGTGACAAACTGTCACGTTCGTTTGAGCATTGTGTCACATTCGTTTGGGTGTGAATTGGCCATAAATCAGCTCGTTCACATTCAAACGAACGTGACACAATGCTCAAACGAACGTGACACTTTGTCACGTTCGTTTCAACGTGATGTCACGTTCCTGGAATGAGAGTGTTTTAGCGGTCGTTTTGCCATTTGATGTAAAATTGCTTAAATTTTACTTCCTCTGACCTTCAGGGTTCCAAAAAAAGACCCCTTCTGTGAGCTAATAGACTATTCTTGTCGTCGACTGAAGAACAAGAAGAACAAAACCGAAAATGAAGTGGATTACGAGCAGGTAGCGAGCCCAGTTGGAGAAATGTTGAGAAATATGTTTCTTTCCTTTACCAATAAGTATTAGAAACAGGCCTAATAGCATATCAACGCGAGAGGATTCGGGAACCTCTAAAATTATTGCACTCGAACGGGTGGACGGCGCCATTTCCGGTTTTGTGCGGCTTCTTGTTCTTCACTCACCAACGACTGGAATGGCTTCATCGATGATCTTTGTCTTTCTTCACATCAGGAAACATCAAATTAGACGAAAAACAGCTTTTGAGAAAATCCTACGTGACATCGGTGGGGGGAGGGGGGGGGGTTCGCGAAGATCCTACGGTGTGTCACGATGGGGGAGGAGGGGGTCCAAAAGTGGCCTAAAACCGGTCACGTAATATGGGTACGGCCCATGTTGGAATCATCATCTATTTTGTTCTTTTAAGTCTTAGGGAAATCACTATTATTAAAAGAAGAACAATGAAAAATAAATTCCGTGACAAAGGTACTCAATCAATATCTGTCGCAGACATAACAAAATCATTTTTGACTTTGTTAGTCAACGACTTGTTTTGGACTGTTAATATGTTATTACAAGCTTGTCGCTAGAAAATTATCCTTTAGTTCCAATTTTACTCTGGTTTTACAACCCCGTAAACAAAACTAGTACATGTCTGGAATCCGACGTCTTTCGGACGTCCCGAAGAAGTCGGTTTTGGGAGCTCTTCGGGACCTCCCTAAACGTACTACAAATGAAGCTCTCTCGTACGTCGCGCGGGGACCTAGTGTGTGGTGCCAGAGTTCGCCGCCAGAGCGCGCCCTGGTCGCTCGTCCCAAAGTAGTCGGTTCTTGGAGCACTTCGGGACGTCCGAAACGGTAGGTCTATGTGAGGTCTTTGGGAGGTCCCCCACCACACCCGTCACAGCGTCCTGCGGCCATGTAGTTCCGAGTGTGTCCGCTAGAGCGCGCCTCGGGCCCACGCGATGCTCACCTGTTGTGCAGATGACAGTCGGCGCACTTTGGCGCGCACTGTGCTTGTGGCGTCGGATCCTTACTTCTATTTATTTTTCTGTTAACTATAGTAAATTCATTTCTCCAAAGAAAAGAAACCACGCACGAAGATGTTCAGTTCTCAGGTGCACCAATAAGAAGAATACTTCAAAGCCTGGTGCAGGCTTATTTCGTGTTTCAATCCAAATCAGAAAGTGCCGGTGTAAGTTAACCTACAATATTCTGTTACTTTGATACTCTTATTGTCAAAGTGTTTATTTCGTTCGTCATCTGATTTTATGCTTGAGAAATAGGCTCTTTGCGGAAACCTTGACCCACTGGAGTTGCCCAAGATTCTGGAACGATAACCTGCACCACTATGCAATTACATGTGGAACAAGAACTAACTGACTCCTGTGCTTCAGTGTCAAATTAAGTGAATTTCCTGCGACAGAGCAAAGTAAGCATGACACCTTGGAATCAGTGCTAATTGAATTTCTTTCAGTCATTTTGGCTTATTTTTTAATCAAGGGGTGTTACAGTTATGGTTGCTGTATTTTCTTTTCAGTCCAACTGAGATTCCTCTTTTAAATATTTTGTTTTTGAGTCCTGTCCACCATTTTTGTCTCCATATTTTCTGTTGTTCGTGACAAGTCCTATCGTTTGATTTTTAATTTAAAAAGGTCAGTGAATAAATACATTTTTCCTAACAGTTTATCTGTGTCATATTCACATTCCTATACGCATTCACATTCATATCCGGAACAGTGGCGCACCCTAGCGGCAGGCCATCGAACTACGAAACAGGTGCGCGCTCTAGCGGTCACCTTCGGAACTACATGGCCGCAGGGCGCTGCGACGGGTGGTGGGGGACCTCCGAAAGACCTCTCACAGACCTACCGTTTCCGACGTCCCGAAGTGCTCCCGAAAGAGACGTCCTGAAATGTAGCACGGCAGTACTTCTTTCGGATGCCTTTTTTGTTTCATAAGGTACTCCTTCCGTACTACATTTTGGGATGTACAGAGCTCCGAAATGGTAGTACGACAGTACTACTTTTGATAGTAGTTTTGTTTAAGGGGAAGCTATCTGTTCAAATATTGTCGCTAAAAAATGAGCAATAGATAAGTCACTAAGTTACAACATAATTTTTATCAGTGTATATGCCAGGTTAGCACCAGGTGGAGTGTATTTGCAGGCATGCTTCAACCTGAAGCACACTGTGCCAAAAAATCACAGTGAATCTTGGTTAATTTTTTGGCATGGTCTACTGTAGTTCAGAACACAGGAATAACTGTACCTGGCTAGAGGAATTCCTGTACCTGGCTACAGGATATACTGTACCTTGTACAGGATTTTCCGCACTCCAACTCTAGATCTCGTAAAAGTACACTAGATAATGTAAAATAAGTAGAGTTAATCCTGTACTCTGAACTACAGTGACAGCCGTACTAATCGTTACAGGATTAACTGCAGTTTTTTCGCTCAGTGCATACTATTGTAAACACATGAGTTTGTAGATTTTTTACGAAGTGGTGTGTAATTTGGTCTCCTTTTGCTTGTTTGTTTCGACAGATCCGCTTCCTGGATCTTCACTTTGCAGCTAGCGCGGTTTCGAACAAGCTGATATCAACTGTGTTCTCCAGTCGTCGCAACACACTACAAAAGCTCCACATAGTCCTTTACGGCCTTGTGCTTCACAGTAACCTTGTGCCAGCATTGAAAGCCATTGACGCTTTGACGGAGCTGAATACGTTAAGACTCGACGTTTCATGCGGCGCGTATCACGGTTTTTCCTTCAAGAATCTTCGCCTGTCGAATCTGCAAATCTCATGCGTTCTGGACAAGGATTTGGCCCGTGATCTCATCCACCTCGGAAGAAACAGTCTGAAGACGATCAAATGTTTCTCAAGAATGGACAAGCTGAAGACGGATTTCGTGGTATGCAAGAATCTGACTCACCTCGCACTCTACGAATGGTTTGACGGGCTCGATGAAGTAGTCCCACAACTGCCTCTCCTTGAATTCATCACATTTTACGTCTCTAGTAGTCTTTCTGAGTCAACGGCGAACTGGTTGCAGTGGGCCCACAGAAACTTTGCCGGAAAGATCCATTTCGCTGTGGAACATTACAGTGCTGATCATTCATCTCTTATTTCATCGGCGGACAACCTCCGCAACGTCCACCGTGTGACACTAAATAGAGGCGACCTCGAGCAGGTAACCCCACCAGCGCTCGTAGCAAGGCTCTTGAAGTCCCTGACCGCAGTGGAGCAGCTCGTGCTGAATTTCAGGACAGACTTTGAGAGCTTGCTGCTTAGCTGGCCAGCCTCGACTGTTCCTCGACTGCAATGCCTCTCTGTCCGTTCAAAATACCGAAAGAAACCAACTGCGTTCCGGAACTCTTTCATGCAAGCTGTTCAAAAATGGCGTCCTAACCTGGAGTTGAAATTCCTCTAGTTACTTTTTAAAAAAATCCAACTACCCATGTTTTCAAAATTATATTTTTGTGCTTTTAGAGCATTGAAAAGGTGCCCTTCAGCGTAAGTGAAAAGTATTTTTTCGGTGGTTTGTTTGAAAACAAAATGGGAGGGGAACGAGCCTCATTGTTTTTTACGGCGATCGAAGCCTATGTTTTTGATCTGAATAAAGGACTCGCAATTAATCGGAAAAATTGTTATTGCTACCATGGACTTTTAAAAACATTTTAATTAATAATTTGATTGAATCCCGCTACTTGGGCTGTATACATGTATATGTAAATAGCTTCATATACATGTATAGGAATTCGACTATAAAAATTTTTTACAGTGTATTTGTGTCTGCCTTGGCAGTAGGATACGTCTTAGCATCTGTTTACGGCTAACGCACTGCAAACCTAACTGTCTACTAGGTACACACTAGGGGCCGTCGACATTTGCGACTTTTCGATTTTGACAACGGAATAGCACTCAAAAGTTGCGTTTTTTAATGCTGATTTCAGATCTGTCCTTGGTTTTGCGATAAGACAAAGCTTTGATGACCCTACCGGCCGTTTTATGCAAAAAAGCGGTGTTTTTCATGTTTCTACTGTGTTAAGGCTCCCGGACAGCCTCCACGTCGTCGGCCAAGGTAGGTGACCGTTGAGTTGTCTTCAGTAGCATAAAAGACAACACTCTGAGCCACGAGGGGTCGAGGGTCACCCCTCTAATGTGCCAAAGACCTGAAAAACTGAATTTTTTTGGTCGAAAATCACTCAATTTTTACCATTTTTTCACCGTTTATCGACTATTACGAGAGCCCACGGGCCCGAGGTCATAACTTACGCAGACCAAAAGGTGTCACTGGGTATAAGAGAGGTCACCCAGCCCCTGCCCGGGCCCGGGGAGGCGCTGGGGCAGCGAGAGAGGCGGTGTCGAATATGTTCAAAATGACCAAAATCAGCTGATCGGCCGCCTGGGACATGCTGTGTAGGGGATGGGAGCGTGTCGCCGCGCCGGTCACGACGCTTCGCCCGCTGCCCGCCCAGCCGGCCTGCTAGCTGCCTCTGTCGCACCCCGGAGGCAGAGCGACGGAGTGCTGCTGGCGCGTGTTAAGTTTGAGTTGCCTAGGCACAGTGAGGCAAGGCGTCAGAGTCGGCGGTGACCGCTGCAAGCGTCGTGCCAGCCTGGCATGGTCGACATGAGCCCCGATGGCCTGAGCCCCGGCCGAGCCCGACTTGAGCGCCGACACGAGCACTGACTGAGCTACGATGGCCAGAGCCCCGAACTGAGCCCCGGCCGAGCCCGACTCGAGCTGCGATGTCCAAAACCCCGACCTGAGCCTGTTTTGAGCCCCGACCTGGGCCTCATTTGATCCTCATTTGAGCCCCGCGCCTAAAAAGTTAAAATTTTCAATTTGAACCAAAATCTTCGAAGAACAATTCAAAAATGGAAGTTTTTTCGGCGTGGGGCTCAGATGGGACTCAGGTCGGAGCTCAAACCAGGCTCGGTTCGGGGCTCTGGCCATCGTAGCTCAGTCAGTGCTCGTGTCGGCGCTCAAGTCGGGCTCGGCCGGGGCTCAGGCCATCGGGGCTCATGTCGACCATATGCCAGGCTGGCACGACGCTTGCAGCGGTCACCGCCGACTCTGACGCCTTGCCTCACTGTGCCTAGGCAACTCAAACTTAACACGCGCCAGCAGCACTCCGTCGCTCTGCCTCCGGGGTGCGACAGAGGCAGCTAGCAGGCCGGCTGGGCGGGCAGCGGGCGAAGCGTCGTGACCGGCGCGGCGACACGCTCCCATCCCCTACACAGCATGTCCCAGGCGGCCGATCAGCTGATTTTGGTCATTTTGAACATATTCGACACCGCCTCTCTCGCTGCCCCAGCGCCTCCCCGGGCCCGGGCAGGGGCTGGGTGACCTCTCTTATACCCAGTGACACCTTTTGGTCTGCGTAAGTTATGACCTCGGGCCCGTGGGCTCTCGTAATAGTCGATAAACGGTGAAAAAATGGTAAAAATTGAGTGATTTTCGACCAAAAAAATTCAGTTTTTCAGGTCTTTGGCACATTAGAGGGGTGACCCTCGACCCCTCGTGGCTCAGAGTGTTGTCTTTTATGCTACTGAAGACAACTCAACGGTCACCTACCTTGGCCGACGACGTGGAGGCTGTCCGGGAGCCTTAACACAGTAGAAACATGAAAAACACCGCTTTTTTGCATAAAACGGCCGGTAGGGTCATCAAAGCTTTGTCTGATCGCAAAACCAAGGACAGATCTGAAATCAGCATTAAAAAACGCAACTTTTGAGTGCTATTCCGTTGTCGAAATCGAAAAGTCGCAAATGTCGACGGCCCCTAGTACACACTTACAAATGCATGCTTGCAAGTTGACACTTACAAATGCATGCTTGGCCAAGCACACACTTACAAATGCATGCTTCCAATACACACCTACAAACGCATGATTGACGCATGGAGTAATACGGCGTCAAGCATGCGTTTGTAAGTGTGTACTTAGTAGACAGTTAGGTTTGTAGTGCACCCCGAACGGGAAGATGGATTTACACGGAAGCGGGCCCTTGACATCGGTTGTTGAGTACAGTCGCTGGCAGAAAGGTTCCACTGTTGTCATTGACATCGGTTGTTGAGTACAGTCGCTGGCAGAAAGGTTCCACTGTTGTCATAAGTGTTCGGCTGACCAAACAGAATGCAGCAGTTCAACAGCTTGCCGCTTGATCAGTTCTGGCAGGGGGCGGCAACGGCCTTGGGAGCGCGTGAAGCCATGCTCGAGCGAGGTGCAGGGATTCCGTACGGACTTTTCTTCGGTGCACATTCTCTGCCCTGAACCCAGTCGCAGAACCTTTTTCTCCTATTTAGGCTATAACTTTCAAAATCTCCTTGCGCATACTAATTTGTCGTAAAAGGTTGGCTTTGGCATTTTTCACTTCTTCGATTCATTTTAAAAAGATGCCGGCATGCACAACTCAAAATGTAAATTACGTTTTTATTCGCAAGCTTTCTAACCAAGGATTTCACTATAATTGATCAAAAATGTACAAAATAGACAAATTTTAGAGACTTATCAGCTTAAAAAGCTTACTATTAATAATATAATGGAAATCCTGAGCTATGCATGCCGGAATCTCTTGAAAATGAATCGTAGAAGCGAAAAATATCAGGGTCAACCTTTTACGACAAAATAGTATGCGCAAGAAGATTTTTTAAGATACAGCCCAAATAGACTCAAAAAGACTCTTCGACTGGGTTAAGAACCTGGCATGTGCCTTCAAAAGTCAAATTTTAGTCTCCTCGAAGAAAGATTTTGTATTCCGCACAAATCATGACAGTGGGGTCCATTTTGAAAATGGCAAGAGTTTCACCAGAACCTCTCCTTTAGTATTCCGACCTATCAGGGAGCGGCGTAACACAAAGCCTTATGCTGTAATTCGCGCCTCCTTTTTATAAATCAGAAATGAGCAGAAGTCCTTGCGGTTTATTGCATCGTGTTGGCCTGCTTTTACCTAGATATTTCGACTGAGAGTCAACGGTTACAAAAATTTATAAGTTAAAGGTCGCATGTACCGTCAACGGGGGTAACTTGGGACACCGGGGGTAACTTGGGACAGTCTGCCCTGTACAACCTGTTGGTGCTGCCATTCAGCGATGGGGGTTCCTAGCGTCAAACCCGCGGCAGGGTTTTGTTTCAGAGGCCTCAGGACACGCGCGAAAAGGTGGAAGAGGTGCATGACATCACTATTAGTATTTCACTCACTAAAAAGTTCCTATCCCAATTTCGCTCCAAGCAGTGCTAATTTAGCACTACACCAGAGCGAACTCGTCAAATCACACTTAGCAGTGAAATAACTGCCTCTTTGCACTCCTCAGTGCAAAAATGGACCAAAAAGTGCTAAGTTGTTGAGTGAGAGCACTTATAGGTGCTAAAATGTTTCACCCGAAGTAAGTGCTAAATTTCTTGCCCCTGATTGGTCTCCATGCAGCGTACACGCTGTACACACTGACTGAAAAAAAACTTATTCCGCCCACCCGAATTAGGGAAATCGCAAACCTGTTTTGGGTGGGAAACGAGCTCAACCCATTCAGGAAGCAAGTCTACCCAATTTTGTTACCGAGGGGGTTTGGTAACCCAGCTTGGTAAACGAGGTTACCCGTATTACACCATGCCTACATTTTCGAGTTTTGACTGTACTTTCGAAGTGGTCCAAATTGAGATTTCTTATCAGAAATAGATTTGTCTCGACAAGACAAACAAAAAATGTCAACACATGTCATAGGTTAAAATGAGAAATGAAAAAGTTATTCAACTTATAATAGACTAAAATGGCCAAATCAGCATTAGAAATTCAATAACTTTTTCATTTCCCATCTGAACCTATGACATGTGTTGACATTTTTTGCTTGTCTTGTCGAGACCAATCTATTTCTGTAAACCAAAGTCAATTTTGACAATTTTTAAAACACTCTACAAAAAATGTCCTGTCAACGCCGTTAATTTATTACCAATGTTTGCTGTTATGCAATTCACGGCGTTTGCTGTGAACTAGTTCACGGCGTTCACTGTGATCTCGGTTACAGTGGTCACTGTGATCTGGCCACAGTAAACGCCGTGAATTGGAGCCTGATTTGCAGTCCTTCGGTGCTCAGCGGCGTGAAACTTACAGTGTTTACTGGGGACCAGATCACAGTGAACACCGCGAACAAGATCACAGTGAATCCCGTGAGCAGATCACAGTAAACGCTGTGAATTGACCTACAGTGAAAACTGGTAATAAATTAACGGCATTTACAGGACATTTTTGGTAGAGTGAATTCACCGTGACAAATCTGTACTCTTTCAGGGATATTGTAAAGTAAAATTTAGATATCCAAAAAAAATCTGTGACCCTTAAGTTACTTTTGTGTTTAAAATTTAATCACCATTAGGTGAAATTATTTTGAAAGTTGGAGGGCCTAACTCCTATTAGTCTCTCAGATATGGAAGTTGACGTAAACTTTTAG